TCGTGTCGGGCATGATCCGATTGTTAGGTGGGTCATGGGTCGAGAATAAGGGCCCCTTTACTGTTTGGACGAAGGAAGCCCAACCCAAAACGGTGCGTTGTGGCTTAAGAGTTCGGACTTACCAAGTAGGCGGATTTCTTCATGGTATTTAACATGATTTTTTTTTTTTTTTTTTTAAAGTTATAAACATAAATAAACCAAACTTTTATTATTATTATTATTATATAATGAACGACCTACTTTTGTTTTGACCGAAAAAGAAAATGGAATTGTATTTTATTTAAAATAACTTATTTGAAAAGATGTCCAAAGGTAAAACTGGGGAACAAGAAAATATGTTGTATTCAGCGGTGGATTGTCATGGGAAGCATCTTCCTGGAAACGTCTCGCTTAATTTCTTGTTATTTTTCCTGCTGAGAAATAAATTTTCTATTTTTATATAATTCAACTTTATTGTATAGACAGACGAATTAGAATTGATTTATTCTGGGTCTTATCATCAATCTAAGAGTTGGAAAATTACACAAAAAGCATATAAATGAAAAGGAATTTAAAATAAATAAATAAATAAACAAACAATGCATGCCAAAATTTGATTTAACAAGAAGATTAAAAAAAAGGGCAGGTATAAATGTTCACTTCAATTAATTTAATTCCCCTTTTTCACTTTAATACCTCAATAGTCAATCCTCTTTTGTTGCTGTCACATGTAATAAACAAATTTTCGGATAATGCTGTTGAATTTTTATAATATGGAGACAGGTGTATTATTTTCATTGAATTTTTAAAATTTTAAAAATAAATAAATAAATAAATTTACTGTTGAAATCTACATTTATTGGTTTTACCCTATCTTTTATAAAATTATTGCTACACGTAATCCATGAAATATTTGAATTTTATATAATAAATAAAAAAAAAAAAAAAATGCGTGCATACAAGTCTCTCTCTATATATATATATATAAATTATATTTGTAAATTTTTGATGATACAACTTTTTCTTTTTGTTGGTGTGGAAGCATATGAATGGTAGTTGAAACCACAAAAATCTAAGAAGGCACGACCACCCTCTCCCTTCCTTTCTATCGGTTTCCTCTAAAAACAGAAATTAAAAGTGAAAAGAAAGGAATTACACTTTCTTGTCCTTTGTAGCTACATCATGCATACGCCAATATTTCAGTTAAATATGTCAAAAAGAATTCCATCCATTCATCCAATCTTATTTCGATTAAATATTATTTCTATCTCATTATAATTATTTCACTTACATATATGTTAAAAATATTTTGATTTGGTGTGTTGAGATTCCACAGTAATTCCATACATATTATTTTTGTTTGTATGTTATTTTTATTACATTATGATTAATATATATGTATTAAATGTTAATAAATATTTAAATTTACTTTTTAAAAAAATTTTAAAATCTCTAAATTTCACAGAAATTTTCTTTTTTTTTTTTCTTTTTGCATTTATTAATCTTCAAATGATGCAGATTTTACAAATATTTATAAATCTCTCTGATGGGTAGGATTTATTTATTATTAAAAAAACAAAATTACCACAATGCTCTCACTCAAAAATTGAAATTACAGAGACGAATTGTTGTAACCTAAAAGTCTCACCCTTTTTGATTGCTAAGAAAAAAAGAATTCTACAGACATCTTCCTCCATAACCAGCATTCCTAAACAATTCCTGCTTTATGTCTTCACAGCCTATTGCTCTTCTCTGCTCAATTTCCTGTCAACATTACCAAAATCATTCACTTTTCAAAATATAATTATATAATTTATAGTCTACTTTTCACCACAATTCAAAAACCCTAATGATCGACTATTGAGTACAAAACTATGATCTACGGACTGTAAATTTTATTAACAAATTGAAATGAAATCGAATTTTTACCTCAGAGCAAGAAGCTTGCATTGCAAAGTCATTAAAACAGCTTATAACACACTTTTGAATCTCCAACCCTAATGCTTCTAGAGTATGTACCGTAGACAGTAACAATCCTGGCTTCCCCGCACAGCATAACTCAATTCGGGTATCGCTACTTCTTCTCTCTACGACAAACTGTAATTTTATATATATAAAAAAGTTAAGAATTTCCTGTAATTTAATTAGAATTGTTAACCATATATGTAAAAAAAAAAAAAAAGTGATTTAATATAAATTACCTTGGGTGAATTTCTTATTAAGATTTCATTTGGTTTTTTTACATCCCTGAAAATATTCACCATGTTCAACTGATCATCTGAACCACCTTCTTCAATTTTTTGTTGCAGAGTCTTGATTCTCTCCATTAATCCTTTCATGTACTCTATCGTGTCTCCAAGAATTGATGTTCTGTCCATCTTCAACCATTCCAATTTAAATTTTAAAATAAAAATTTATATATTTCAATTATTAAAAATAACTGTTAATCAATAATATAATATATAAAAAGTAATAATTATTTAGTCAAATAATAATGGGTAAAAATGGTTTTAAATTGTATATAATTATAAAATTGTATTATTATTATAAAAATATAAAATGAAAGTTTGTGATTATATGTAATTTAAATTTACGATAATTTACCTTGCTTATATTGGGTACAATGGATCTTAGCATGGAAAGTCGATCGTTAAGCCGCTTTCGCCTCCTCCTCTCCGCCATTAGATTCTTCGACGGCTGACCTTCCATCTTCTTCCCTCGCCCATTTTTTCTCCTAATGCTGAAAACAGGCGGCGACTCAACTTGGAAACAAGCCTGCAAATCTTCCGCCAATCCAAACGAGTTACAATCTTCCTGCATATGAAACGGCGGCGTATCCTGAAGCGGCGGCGTATCATGAAACGGCGGCGTATCGAACGTGTTTTGCGACGAGTTGGTGATCTGCTGACCGCAGATATTATCGTCGGCAAAGGGAACATCGGAGGAATTAGCCGCCGCTGTCGATAAATCGAAAGAAGAGTAACAGAAATCTCCACCAGCTACTTTCCCGGAAAATTCTTCAGTAGTGAAGAAAGAATTTTGAAGATTAATGGCTTCTAGGTCCGTGTCGAAACCATCAAAACTCAAATTTTTCCAGTCATTGTTGGAGAAGAAGAAGTCTTCGTTGGTTTCTGTAAATGTAAGTGAATTGTCCCATGTATCTCTCCTTAGACCTAGCAGTTCTTCTAAGTAATCCTGCTGGTTCAGCTCCATTTTCTCTCTGTTTTCTTTCTCTTTTTTTTTTTTTTTTTTTTTTTCTAAATCTTTATAATTTGCAGAAAAATGCCTTGAGAAGATAAAGTTAGATGAAGAAGAGGAGTATATATATAGGCCGACCGTGAAGGGGGCTTAAACTGTTCAGTTTCTTTTTCTGAGCTTGAAAGGGTCCGCTATATGATTTATATAATATATTTTTTGTATATATGTAATATTGTATATTAGTTGGATTTTACAATATTGTTGAAAATGTATTGTTATTAGTATAGTATTTTCATTAATCATCAGTATATATATATAAGTAATACCGGAAAATGTTACATCGGTTTTTTTATTTTTTAAATAGAAATCATAATTTATAAATAACAAAATTAATATGATAATATATAATAATTATTTTTAAAATATAAAAAAGTATTTATTTTATAATTAATTTTTAAATAAAAATTTAGTGTAGAGAGGTTAATGGAGTCTGGTTTTGGTTGAGCCTCTATTTCTCAAAGGTGGTGAGATTTGATGTCTTTTTCACCGAAATCTTTTGCAATCAAACAAAATAACAAAACATAAAAATTTATTGGCATTACTCTCCAAAACTTTGACCCACAGGTATGTACACACACATATATAAATATGCCTGAACTCAAAAGATGAAGACCTGTCAGATGTGTGTCTTATAATTTTACTTATTATTTTTTTAATATATTTTAATAACTATATTACAATACAATTAACTTTCAAACAGTTATACATAAAAACTACAACATAATAAAAAAAAAATGAAAATAGTAATTTGTAACATTTTGAACCATAATAATATTGATGGGTACGGATGTTAACACAATATTTTTAACTATTAAAATATAAAAATATTAAATATACAACAGAATTACACTTTAATACACATTTTATGACAGAATAATTATTCATTTACAAATAATTTAGACATCTAAATTAATTTACAATATTTAAATAAAAGTTAATAAAGTTTTTATTCACCATATTCTATTGATCTTGAACTTGTTCATCATCTCTTTTAACCTGGATGAGGGTGAATTGGGATGAGTTTCACAAGTTCAGTAAAAAAAAAAATTTATAACGGAGATTTACATGCATATATTCACGCAATATATAAAATATAATAATTTTTATTATCAAAGAAAATATTAAACAAGCATCACAATCAAAATACACAACAAACAAATCATCACACGAAACATATTCTAATTCTTACTCTCATAACATAATTCTTGTTCTCATTTCAAATCATACTTACACTCGAACTATCATAATACACTTAGAATATCATATCTAAAGTTTCATCGCGCGATACTATTTATGTCATCATTAAGGAGAGGCAAAATAGATCCTCCCATTGTATGGATAACACACACACACAAATCTTACAATGACCACAACAGGTACGTTTACTAGGTGACTCACGCTCACAAACACTTATCCACGCCTGAACTAGATTTCAAACTCTATCCATGTGCATGTTCACCATACCTACTAAACTTCAACCACACACACACCTTCCCCTCCTTGATTCAGACTAAATGAGTAGGTATTTAGGGTCCTTACACTTTACACTATTTCTAAATCTCTCTCATTTCTAATTCACTTATTTTTACCTAAGATCTTAATTTTTATACATAATTAAACACAAAAACACACACACAAAATACACAATATCATCACACATATTAAAATTATACATTTCAAAACACTTTTTGAATCATCATGTACCAAATCACACAGCAAACATAGGATACTCATATTCCTCGCACAATTGTACTAGATCACACAACAAGTACAATGCACTGTACATCTATATCAGATCACACAGGCAGTGCGGTGTACTCAATTTCATTTCATTAGATTAGTTTCTAAAGGCTGTTTTACTATTTGTGAGTTTAAACGGGATGATGTTTTATTTAGATTTTCTTAAAAATAGTTAGTATAGTTAGAAGTATTATTTTATCTAAAGCCATATCAATCCTTAAGTTTCAGGTGCCTAATTTAATTCATTAATTTTTTAACTTTTAATAATTAAAGTGTGACTGGTTAAAATAGGTCTAGAGAGTTACGGAATTGATGATTATTTTTTAATATGACTAGGAATTATTTTAATAGCATATTCAATCATCAGTTTTGTTACGAGCAGTTACGTTTAATTCTAATTCTCGCAAGTACACTCCAAATTTTCAAGAATTTCAAGAGACTGCTCTTAAGTATGACGTTAAGATACGAGTCACTAGTTTATCACACCATCAATTTACTCTTTTTGGTTTGAAGAAAAAAATCATCTGGTGTGGTGATGATGGTTCATCACGCTTCCGTTGTGCTATTTTGGTAGGAAACACATTGAAAATTTGTTGAATAGCTGGATGTGAGCACAACTCCTACAACTATACCCCTCACCTAGGAAATTTTCCTAAGAGTATTAGAACTCTTAGAAATGAGAATTCTAGTTAGGCATTTTTTGATTTTAGTTCCTAGGATGACAGTTTAATTTATAAGAATATGGTTATTTATTTCCTTAGGATTCGAGACCACTATTGGAGTATCTAAACATAGTTGGAAAAGAATTTTAGAATAGTGAGGGTATTTGTTTCCTTAGAGGGATGCAACGAGAATTCTTAGAAAAATTTAAATCGTCATTTAGTTCCTATCAAGTTTAGAATTTGTTAGGTGGAGTATATCTATTTGAGGGCTTTTCTCATTTTGATAATTTCTTCATATTGGAAAATTTTTTCACTCGATGGATTTTTTTTCCACCTAAGAAATTTCTCTTATTTAAGAAATGTTGCTCTTATTCGGAAAACCTCCCTGCCAGAATTTTTTCCTTCTTTCTTTTTTAACTAAGGAATCTTCCTGCTATGTGAGAAAATTCATCACACTAGGGAATTTTCTTCCCTCTAAGGGATTTTGGTAATTTGGGAAACTTCTATTGAAGGGACTTCTAGTGCCATTTTGGGGGCTTTCACCTAGATGAGAAGTTTTCTCTCAGTTGAAGCATTGGTTCCAAATGGAAAAGTGTTTCTTGCTCTTGGGAAATTTTCTCTCAGTTGAGAGATTTCTCCCCCCAATTAGGAACTACTTTCTTATCTTAAAGGAAATCACATACTTTTTTCTAAGAATTTTGTTACAGTCACCTGGCTTTACAGGTTCAATAGGTCAATAAAAAGTTAAGACTCTGATGGTTTTCCTTAATACTTGTGAAGTTCGAAGATGGCAGTTGGTTATTATCGTCATCCGCTAATTTCATGTTGAACCCTGATTTGTGGAGTCTTAAGTTTACCAGAAAGTAACTTATGTGGTTACTATCGCTAGGTTTGTGGAATGTTATTATCTTATTTTTCATGTTGACAAATATTTTAGAGAAGGTCCAAAGATCTCTTAGGTGTCATTCTCCTAAATTCTGTTGGTCCTGCATCTCCTAAAGTTCCTATACCTCATGTCACAAAGGCTGGTTCTGAAGAACGTGTGTTCTGATACTACCTATAACATCCCGAACTCTAATATCGGTGGGTACATATCTTAGCACAACATTTTCAGCTAGTAGAACAGATAAATATTAAATATGTAGCAGAACTACACTTTAATACACATCCTTGTAACTGGATAATTATTTGTTTACAAATAATTGAGGCATTTAAATTAATTTATAATATTAAAATAAAAACTAATAAAATTTTCTTCATTATCTTTCTTTGATCCTTGACTTCTTCTAACCTAGATGGGGTGAATTGGGGTACGTTTTACGAGCTTAGTAAGAAAAAGAATTCTATAATGAGGACTTACGTACATATATTCACACAATATGTAAAATATAATAATATTTATAACAAAAAAATGTCAAACAAAGTATCTCAATTAAAATACACAATAAGAGAAATCATCACACGAAACATATTTTAATCCTCACCATTTTAACCTAATTTTTGTTCTCATTTCAAATCACACTTATACTCAAAATATCACAATCTAAGATTTCATCGCGAAATACTGTTTATATCATCATCGATGAGAGATGAAATGGATCCTGTCATTGCATAGATAGCACACACAAAATCTCACATTGACCATAACAGTTACGTATGCTAGGTGACCCACACTCGCAAACACCTATCCACGTTTTATTAGGTTTCAAACTATATCCATATACAGGTTCACCATATCCGCTGAACGTTTGCCAAACACACATACTCCCCTCCGCGATTCAGACTAAACGAGTAGGTATCCAAGTTCCTTACACTCTGTACTATTTTTAAATCTCTCTCATTTTCAATTCACTTATTTCATACTTAAGATCTTAATTTTTATGCATAATTAAATACAAATACACACATAAAATATAGAATATCCTCACGCACATCAGAGCTATACATTTCAAACTCTTTTTTGAATCATCCTGTATCAGATCACACAACAAGCACAAGATACTCAGATTCTTCGCGCAAATGTACTAGATCACAAAGTAAGTACAATGCACCGTACATCTGCACCAGATCACCTGTATATATATAAATAATTAAAACCAAGAGGAAAATATATATATATATGTAATGAAGGAGCAGAGAAAAAAAAGAAAGAAAAAAAAAGAGAAGAAAAAGTGAGGAGAGATAGATGCGACAGTGAGAGGAGAAAAAGGGTTAAGCGGCATCGAGAGACAAGAGAGAAGGGTGGCGCGGTATTGCGCGACACTACAACCAAAAGAGAAAAAAAGACGAGAGCAATGGCCATCAGTTAGAGAGAGAAAAAGAAGAGAGAGAGAAGAGACGCGGTGGGTAGAGAGAGAAGAAAGAAGAAAGAAGAATAAGAAGAAGAAAAAAGGAAAAAAAAAAGAAGAAGAAGAAGAAGAAAAGAAAAAGAAAGAAGAAAGAAAAAAAAAAGAGAATAAGAGGAGTTGTGTGAAAGGAGGAAGAAGAAGAAAAAAAAAAAAGAGGATCCATGAGAAAAGAGGAAGAAGAAGAGAAAAAAAAGGAAAAAAAATGAAAGAAAAAAAAGAAAAAAAAAGAGGAGAAAAAAA